ATTATGTGGGAAGTCTTGTACGGAATGCTAGTACCTTACAATCAAAAACTTGGGACACATCTTCAAATACAGATATGTTATAATAATTTAAGACCAACTACTCTTAAGGGCTCTCCACAATGTTATATAAATCTAATGAAAAAATGTTGGGATAGAGAACCAAAAAATCGCCCATTAACAAAGGAGATTTGTGAAACTTTTGAAAAGTGGCAAACTGATGAAAAAATTTTATTAGAATTAACTAAATCAGATAATATATTAAAAAATATTAACTCTCCACCTATAGAAGCATATTCAAAAGAATTTATTAGTCACACTAAGTCTCTTTATCAAGGCAATACTCAGTGTTTAATGTCTGAAAATTTCCCAACCTTCGAAATTGGCGAATGGGTGAAATCTAGTTAGTATAAGCAATAAAATATGTTGAGCTACCCCTTATTCCCCTAATTTTTATTTGCACTGATATTGCATACTCAAATTTTCATATATCATATGAAAATATATTTTAAATTGCATGAGTCTGAACACTCTAATCATAGGATGTCTATATAGGTAACAGGACATGAAAACCTGTAAATCATTTCACTCATTGTTATTGCAGTGATACCAAAGTTTTTACCGCATCCCTAATATTACTCAATTATTTGTTACATTCTTTGTGCTCGCAAAAGAAAAAAAAATTATATTGTATTAAAAAGCTTTTTTCGTTTTCTTATATGAATTTATTCTTACGGTATTCGTTCCAAGCACTTACGAAGCAACTTTTTCTTTAGAAAAGTTTTCGGATTTCTTAAGTGATCGACAATCTTTGCAATACTAAGTTTGACGTACATTAGAACGATAAGCAAAAACAAGTTTATTTTAAGTACGCTAAAACAGTATTTTGAATTTAAGTAGTGATGTAACTTTTTTTTAGAGGAATACTAGGTTTGTAGGTGGGTTGATAAAAGCTCGTATCTGAGTTATGTACAATATAAGAGACGGGGATAAAGTGTCAGTAAAAAGTATATATGTTGTGCCTCAGACTAACGCTTGCCTCAGATCACAGCTGACGCACCTCCGATTCAGGTCGCCAGGTGAGGTTCGTAAACTATTGATCCATCATCTAAACTGCAATCTGACGAAAGTAAGAGAGTAAAATAAATTGAATAAAAGACTTTTGACTTGGGTGCTTTTTTATTCTTGTTTTCTTGAATTTCTTCAGCGTTTTTCTTACTGGTAGCATTCTTTACTTTAAATCACTTTGGCGTCTTTTTTAACTCCAGTAACATTCTATATCTTTGAATCATTTTGATGTCGTCTTACTTCCCGTGGCATTTTTTACATTAAGCCTCTTCAGCTCCATTCTTTTCTTTAAATTTCTTTGCCTGAATTTTCGTGGCACATTCTATTTCCAATTAATATGTACTTTTTTTCTATACGTACAGCTTTTTTTTTTGCCTAAATTTTCACTGCATACTCTTCCTGTTAAAGTTTTCACAGCACGTTCAACTTCAATGATACTTTTTATCCTATACTTTTTTTTTTTTCTGTGCGTAATGACCGATCGATAGGTTACACAACTCATCTAACAATCTACACCTAAGGTGCGTCAGCTGTGATCCGAGGTAAGCGTTAGTCTGAGGCACAATTTATATACCTCAAAATTTTGCAAGAAACCTTCTTTATTAGAATACAAAGAGAAATTTTATAAGCAAAAATTATAATACAAGCAATTTTTAAAAAATTGGCAATTTTTTTTTTTGATTTCCATCAGCAAAAAATACAAAAAAATATCTTTGTTCTCCAGATGTATAGGAGTTAGAAATCAGAAAGCATTGTGTATAAATTCTGGTTAGCCAGACCGGCATTTATAAATTTCTCGATAAATTCAAATTCAGATATAAATCCGGGCATAAGATCGATTTTCCGTTCACGTGATTTCCAGAATTTTACCATCTTCCCCAGCATCGCCACCAATTTTTTTTTCGATCACGTGATCGTACAAAAATCGTTAAGTTCGTTTAGATTAGGGTTAGGGTCTGTGCTAAGGTTAGGGTTTATGTGTTTTTAATAGCAAAATCGCTCAAGAAAAACTTTTTGTTAATGCACAGAAGGTGATTTCTTATGTAAATTTTTGAGTTAGAGGAGAATTTTTGAAAACGAACGTTTGTTTCGGATCTTCCTGATTGTGTTACGTTACACCAAGGCGTGATTTATTATTGGATAGTTTCACGTGATCGAAAAAATTTTATTAGTATTTTGGTGGCGATCCAGGGAAGTTAATTTTACCCACTCGTGATTTTTAACCAATTGGGATGTTAAGGTTAGGGGTTAGGGTTATTTAGATCATTGATTAACTGACCCTGATTTTTAATTGGTTAACTGATGTCAGAAAATCACATGAACAGAAAAGAAACATCTCTCTCATCTAAATTCTTTATCCATGATGACGGTTTATTAAACGACATGACAATGGGCAAAATATATGTGCGTATAAAATTTTTTTTTCTTAAGCAAATGGATTTATTACAATTAATTTATATTGAACTTTACCAATGTTTACTTGATTTCTTGAGACTAGTAGAAGATGGTGTATGACGCGTACCAAATATAATAGGTGAAAATTAACAAGAACAACAAGAAGAAATGAGCCAAATTGCATTGGAGAAGACTACAGACAATTGGAAGGGTGATGATTTAAAGACTCGGATTAGCAGCAAACGCCCTATTTTAAAAAGGTGAAGCATTTATAGACCCGCTTTTAAAAAATAATACACTAATTCATTTGGACATTTCCAAAAATGGTCTTGGTGTTAATGCAGAGACAGAATTTTGAAAATTATCTTTAGAAACTACTACTCTGACTTCATTATATTATTGACGACTATTACTCTTACTTTATTAAACATGTTTCATATAAATATACCACATAATTTTAAATTTTCGATTATGCCCATAAAAATTTGGTTTTCATGTATACTTTCAAGACATTCTCAAGATTGAGTTTTCTCCTGCTTAAGACTACTGCTTTAGAAAGGGTCAATTATATACCTTCTCTTTGCAATAAAGAAGTTTTGTAAAGAATGAAAATTATTTACGATTGGTCTTTTTCTACTAAACATTTCCACTGTATATGTTTACGAACGCCACACGATATACTTAAAGGATCACAAGATGTTAGCCTTCACGTGGTGTGATCTGGAAAACTAGTAGCATCAACCAATTTGTAATTTAAAAAAAGTTTAGGTCACATGTTACTACAATAGAACACGAAATATTAATAAAATATTGCGATTTGTGAAATAAATAATAATCAGTTATTTATTTATTAAATGTAAAGTTTTTTTCTTGTACGTATTCAAAGAGAAATACACTAATTTAAATAAAATCCTAATATTAACTCTGTTTCAAATAAAAATTTAGAACTTTATTTGTAATTATTACATAGTTGAAAGATATTGCAAGAATTTAGCCTAGTGACTCTCTTGATTGTTAGTTGATGTTTTGTTTTTTTTATTTTTTCTCTTAATTGAAGCTTCAATCATTTCTCTTTTTTTTAAAAAAAAAAATTAATAAAAACTCATTAAAAAAATTAAAATAAATTAAATTAAATTAAGACTAGTAACCTTTTACGTTTTATTTTTTTCTTGTCATAATCAGATCTCGTATCAATAGTCTTACGTTTAATGGGTTTTTTACGTAATTGCTGCTTGGATTCTTTTGAGGGATTTTTCAATTCAAGCATCCAATTAGGAACCTCACATCCTGAATCTTTCATTACATTCACTATACTATTAAGTCAAATAATAAAAGTATTAATAAAATAAATAATAAATAAATATATGTATATATGGGGTTGAGTCAATAGAAACCAAGCAAATTTTTTTTAATAAGTTTTTTAAAAACTTTGAACAAGAATAACTTAACAAAAACTTAATCAAATTTAATAAATTTTTTTTTAAAATTAATTCTACAAGTTTGTAAAAATTATTTAAAAAAAATTTGATTAAATTTGGTCAAGGTTTTGTTAAGTTATTCTTGTTTAAAGTTATAAAAAGTTTTTATTATAAAAAATTTGCTTGATTTCTATTGACTCACCCCCATATATTGATGTATGTATACCTCTTCAAATAAGGAGCATCTTCTTTTGTATAATAAGTAATGGCTTCACCCGATTTACCAGCTCTACCAGTTCTACCAATTCTATGAATATAACTTTGTATCGATTGTGGAAAATCATAATTTATAACCAAGTTTACTCCCTTAAAATCTATACCACGTGCCATCAACTCAGTAGCTATCAGCACCCATATTTTTCCTTGACGAAAATTTAAAACAATTGAATCTCTCTGAATTTTTGAAAAAAAAAATCAATATAAAAAAATTTATTTATTTGAAAAAAAAGTATATGTAATATATTAATTACCTGAGCTTTTGTTCTCTCAGCATGAATAACATCAACATTAATACCATCATAAATTAATTCATGGAATAATTCTTTAGCACGTTCAATTGATTGAACAAAAATAAGAACAGGTGGTTTTAATCCACCTTCTTGAATCGTTTGCCGTATAGCAGTTAATTTTCCATTTTCTTCACCAACATAAATAAGTTGTTGCTTTATAGTTTCTGTTGCAGCATTTCTAATAAAAAAAATAAATTTGATGAGATATGAAAATTTTTCATATAATAAAAAATGATTGTAAAGTAATTACAATAATTTAAATACTTTAAGCCTACAACAATCCTGATGGGATCTTTCATGAAATTATTTGCCAAAGATTCAACCCCTGAAGGAAGTGTCGCGCTAAACAAGTACTTTTGTAATTTAATATTAGAGCATGCAGCAAAAATTTCATCTGTTTGTTCCAAAAATCCAAGTTCTAGAAGCTTATCCGCTTCATCCAAGACTAAATGTCGTACACTTTTTTTTTTACAAAATTTATAAATAAATAAATAAGAAAAGACAGGCTTTTTTTTTTTCCAAAGATTATAAAAAGATGAAATTTACTTTTTCAAGTCGATATTATCTTGTGAGATAGCATGAACAAGGCGAAGAGGAGTACTAATTAAAATATCTTTAGAAAAAAAAAGGAATAGTAATTCTCATTACTAAATTAAAAAAATAATAGTTTAACCTTCTTAAACAGAAATACTTACCAAATTTTTGTCTTAAATGAGGATCTTGTGCTTGTGTGGCAGCAGTTGCTTTCGTAAGCATGCAAATTTTAAATTTCTTACCAACACACATCTTTTTGAACTCAATATATATCTAGGTAATATGAAAAGAATATTTTACATATAGAGTTGTAATTAAATAAGATTATAATATATCAATATCACGACAATAACACGGCAAATAACACGAAGATAATATAGTAATACCTGTTTTGCTAATTCTCTAGTCGGTGATATTATTAATGCACGATAACCTATTTTCTTGTGACTATTTAAATCATGTAAAATTGGTAGTATGTAGGCCAAAGTTTTACCAGAACCTGTAGGTGCCATTGCCATAGCATCTCGTCCCTTTAAAAAAAAAAATATATTTCTAAATTTGAAAAATAATTATGAAAATCAAAGTAATTACAAAGAAACTCGTACATGTAGAATAATTGGTATAGTTTGCATTTGAACCGGTGTGGGTTGTTTATATCCAGCAGAATCCAAATTCTTACATAAATATTGTTGAAATCCATATATATTATGAAGATCACTGAAAGAATGAAAAGGATTGGGAATGTCGGTGCCATATACGCGAATGCGATGGCGTTTACGAAACATTTTGACCTGAATATTATATAGTATGAAAAAAAAGCTGATATTGAAAAATGAAATGAATTTAAAATTGGATTTTTCGTACATTATCTTGAGTACTGAGACTATTTAATTCAGTAGATTCATCTTGATCAACAATTTCATCCTCATTCTCGTTCTCATCGCTATCATCAGCCTTTGTATTGGAATTATCATTACTTTGCTCTGAAATGTTTAAAACTATTAGCATTTCACGCGAATTAATTGATAAAATTATGTAAATAAATATATATATATATGTTGGTTTTTTTTTTTTTTTACCTTCATTAGGTAATTGTTCGTTACCAAGGGTTTCGATAATGGCCGATTTACTATTGTGAAAAAAGTCAATTTCTTGAAGAAGACTTGCTTGAGTTTCACGATCATTAACAACGTTCTTGACAGGTTTTTTTTGTTTTTGAGGCTATTGACGCGGAAAGGTATTTAAATATGTAATGTTTGAATCTTCTTTTTATAATTAGCAAATTTTTCGAATTTGCTAACCTCAAAAAGTGAAATATCGTCATTAAATCTTTTTTTATCGAATCTGGCACCACTGCCAAGAATATGAAATAGATCCATCGTGAGATCGTTACTTTAGCGTTACGTTAACAATACTAACACTAATGTCAATACGTAGAAGTGTAATTTTAATAAAAAAAATTTTTTTTTTATAATTTTCAAATTTGGCCAAATTCACACGCCCCAATTTCGGAATTAAGTATAATTTATTTAGCGTTAATATATATATTTAAAATATATACGTATAGCAACAGATAAATTATATAATTATACGTAAAAATATACAGAATATATACGTAAAATATACAGTATATCGGTTTATTACAATAAAACAAAAAGTTCCAATCCGACCATGAACCACGAATTAATTCTATTAGAACATTGATAAAAGTCTTTCATTTCACCTATCAATAATTTTTCTTTATTAAAATTTTCCAAAGTTAAAATAGCAAATCTACCTTCTTGAAGGGGACCAGGATTAATTATAAAAGTTTGGCCTAAATGTGAAAGTCCAAAAGGATAATGTGAATGACCGTGAATATTAAACATAATGTTACATTGAGATGAATCTTCTGATGATAATGGTGTTCTTTTTTCGAGGATATCGCGTATAGTTGAACTGATTACGCATATATATGTATACATTATTTATAATATATAAAATATATGTGGGTGTGTGTATATAACACATTGTATAGTATAGTGTATATGTGAATATAAAGAAATTTAGATAAAAAAATGAAATCTCATAAATATTAAAAATCGCGATAATTCTTCGTTACCTGCCAGATTCAATCGGTGGATCCCGCAACGGAAATTTGTCCACATCAGTTGTTCCAGCTTTGGAGGGTCCAACATGTGTAACCAAAATAATTTCATCTTCAACTTTGTCAAGAAGAATTGGTAATTTTTCAGTAAGTAAAGATTCGGTATTTCTTGGACAAGCTAACACAAATATTTATCATTTTAGTTATTACATCACATCAATAAATTTATACAGTATATAAAAGAACGATAATATCTAAAAATCATTTTAATACCTGGCCAAATAACTTGTTCCGGAGAATTTCTCGCCACACCAGCAGTTGATCCACCGAATCCTACCATGCTCAATCCCGGGGCTTTGAATAAATCGATTAATATATATTTACGAAAGAAAAGATTTGATACTGTAAAATTTAAATTATTTAAAAAATTACCTAAATTAATTATTTTGTTATGTAAATTTATTACTTTTGGATTTTCATTTTTTCCTTGATAAGCAGAAGGGAGAAAAGAAGTATCTGGATCATGATTCCCTAAGATAATTTTTATCAATCATTTATTTATTAATTTAAAATCATTTGTTATCATTTGTAATATTGTATTCAAAATCAATATTGAGATCATAAATTACCAGGTATATAATACAAGGGTTTACCAATATTCTCAAGGCCATCGATTACTTCACGAAATTCTATTTCATCCTTTATCGTTATATTTTATTAAAAAAAGATATATTGTAAAAAAGTAACTCCGGTTATTTATAATTGATATTTATAATTGATATTTATAATTGATATTTATAATTGATATTTATAATTGATATTTATAATTGATATTTATAATTTGTTTAACCTTTTCTGTAGTCAGCGGAGTGATATAGTCTGCGTTTACAAGATCACCCGATGCGATAATAAAATCAATACTTTGAAATAAAAATGAATGAAATTTTAATTATTTATCGATATAATAAAGCATAATCAAGATTTATGCATTCCCATATAATCACACTATCGGGACTATAAACAGGTGTGAATAAAGAATTATCTATGTATTAAATACGTAGTATATAGCGATAGCTGGTTCAAGAAATAAATATGCTTATAAACTTATGTGCTATATGGGAGTGCGAATGTAATCATAAATAAACATCCTTGTTTATGATAAATCAAAAAAATAAAGCCTACTCTTTTAATCGATCTTTTTGAATTAACCAGGTTTTAAGATTTTTAATATTATCCAAATTATGATGGATATCGCTAATGAGAAGAAATGTACATTGCATTTTTTTTTTCCTACTAGAATTTTTCCGATTTCCTTTTTACGTTTAAGGTGTTGAGTGGCATGATGGAACGATACGATGATACGATACGATACGATACGATCTGATGTGATATCAATATGACAACAAAAAAAGTGTAACTTGCATATCAAAGTCTTACAAATCTATTCTTTATCGTACAACGTCATAATAATTACATAAAAGTTTATTTGCATAAAAATTAAAGTTAGCTTCAATATATAAAGACCTCATTTTGCTTTTTTGAATATTTAGTTTTTAACGACTATTTTATTTATTTAAATCTACATTTTTTTTCTTTAAAAATTTTTTTGATATAAAATTTTTTGATACGAAAGAATAAATAAAATGGTTGTTAAAGTCGGTATTAACGGGTATCGTATCTATTTTAAATTGTATTTTTTTTTATCCGGCAGCTTATTATGATTCGTCTGCCCAATAAATTTATTATTCGGCAGAAACTACATAGTTGCCGAATAATAAAATTGTTATTGGGCAGACTATCGTCATAAGTTACCGGATAAATCCGTTATCAATCATGCAGATGCCTTATAACTTAATTATTTGGTCAAATGATTTAAAGTCAGCCTAAGAAGTTGAATTCCTTCGGAATTCAATTTCTTAGTCTGATTTTAAATCTTTGACCAAATAAACCAGTTATCAGGCAGTGCCTGCCTGATAACTATTAATTATCAAGAATTATATTAAAATTCTAGTCTAAATAATTTTTATCAAGATTCGGTCGTATTGGCCGTCTTGTTCTTCGTGCCTCCTTGAGCAATCCTGAAATTAAAGTTGTAGGCTTAAATGACCCTTTCTTGGACCTTGACTATATGGTTGGTATACTTTCTTGAGGTTACCTTCGTAGAAGTTACACGAACACCACTGATTATCTAATCCGATCGATCACTTCGAAAACGTCATTACTAACTATATTATATTATCATTTCTCGGACAATTGTTAGATTTATCTTTTCAAATATGATTCTACTCATGGACGCTTTAAAGGACATGTAGAAGCAAAAGGTGGAAAATTTGTCGTCAATGGTCATGAGATCTCCGTTTTTGCTGAAAGGAATCCTGCTGACATTAAATGGGGTGAAATTTGCGCTGATTACGTGGTTGAATCTACTGGTATTTTTACTACTACGGAAAAGGCATCTGCCCATTTAGCAGGTACAGTTTAAAATCTTTTTTTAATACAAATCGTCAATTTCTTTGATTTTATACTAATTATAAAAATCTATCTTTTTAGGGGTTCGTATTTTTATTTTACTTGATTTATATTGTATAGTGATTTAAAAATCACATATTTATCAACATTAAATTTTTACTTTCATATATATTATCTTGTTTTTACTAGGGTGCTAAGAAGGTACACTTTATTTTACTGTATCTGTTTGTTCATATCTATTATATATATATTATTATTATTATTACCTTATTATTATAGGTTATCATTAGTGCACCAAGTGCCGATGCACCAATGTTTGTTTGCGGTGTAAATTTAGATGCCTATAAGCCCGAATATAAAGTGATCTCAAATGCATCTTGCACTACCAATTGTTTGGCCCCATTAGCCAAGGTTATTAATGATGAATTTGGTATCGTTGAAGGATTGATGACTACCGTTCATTCTACAACTGCCACGCAAAAAACTGTTGATGCTCCTTCCGGCAAGGTATAATTTATGAAAAGGTTAACTTAATAATTCTTAAATATTATTAACTCGTAATTAATATTATTTTAGGACTGGAGAGGAGGAAGAGGAGCATGTTTGTCATCTTTTTATTTAATTTTTCAAAATTTAATATAAAAAAATGTGTCCTATATAATCTTTTTTTTTTCGTTATTATTATTATTATAGCACAAAATATTATTCCCAGCTCGACAGGTGCTGCGAAAGCTGTCGGAAAAGTTCGTATTTATGTTAATGTTGTAGTCATATTGTATTCATATTGTAGTCATATTGTATTCATGTTGGTTTATTTCATTAGGTTATTCCAGCCTTGAATAAAAAACTTACTGGTATGTCCTTCCGTATTCCTACAACGGACGTATCCGTTGTTGACGTAACAATGCGTTTGGCAAAGGAAACAGACTACGAGACAATAAAGGCTTGCATGAAACGTGCTGCTGAAAACGAATTGAAAGGAATTCTTGCTTACACCGAGGATGATGTAACTATTAATTTAAAAAAAAAATTTTTTTTATTAAACTAATCCATTTTTAACACGTGGTTTTTTATCATTTATTAGGTTGTTTCCACTGATTTTATTGGTGACACTAACTCTTGCATTTTTGATGCTAAAGCTGGTTAGTTGAAATTAAATTTTAACCGAATGATCATAATCTTCTGGTGCTGATAAACTAATATTATCATTTGAATTTAGGAATACAATTAAACCCCACATTTGTAAAATTAATCGCATGGTATGATAATGAATGTAAGTAATTTTAATTCCTTTATACCTTTTTATATATATATATATATTTATATATACGCTTACATTTATTTTTTTTTCATTTTTGAATTAGATGGCTATTCTACCCGTGTTGTTGATTTGATTGCTCATATTGCCAAGGTGGATGCGCAAGCTTAAACAAGCAATAGGCTGCGAATAAATTATCTTCAGAATATTATATTCACAGATATAAGTATATATGTTAATACAAATCTATACAAAAGAGTTTAATAGCTATTATACGTTATGGTTGGCCATAACTATCTTTTGCTCCCAAAAAAATTTTTTTTTTGATAAATAATTGGATCTAAGAATTTAAATAAACAGTGAATGAATTTGATAAATTTCCAATCATATACTGCGAAATATTATGATGATATTAAAAATCACGAATTTGAATTTAAATGCCATCGAAGAATTAGCATCTCAAGAATTTTCAATCACGTGCATTGTACTCAATAAATGTTAAATATAAGTAATCATTTAATAAATTGTCGTCGAAATTAAATTGCTCTTTGAATTTTATCGAAACTAATCCCCTGATAAATACAGCTAAAAAAAGTTAAGTAAAATGTGATTAAAGTTAATCTTGAAGCAGCTAATCATCTTGTTATCACGACCGATCTAGTCAATCATGAAAAAGAGGACGTTTTCTGACAGAACCAGTCTATTCTTTTATATGGTTGATTACAAAAAAAGTTTGTAAATACTCTTAGATGGTATTTTACTTTTTAATCAATCAACCAGATTCTATATAAATACACTTCGTCGTCCACAAATGTCAATTATCAAATTAATTTAAAAAGTCGAATGTGATCAATCACGTGAGGAACACAATAACTTCGACGCGTAATACTTAAATATTTGATGACTTAGATAACTATGTAGACATCGTTACGGTTATTTGAAAATAATGAAGAACGCACATACAAATATGTAAATGGATACTCTTATGATTCTCCAGTTCTGCATTCTCCAATGCAGCTTTTTGTTAATATGTATGTATCCAAAATACGTACGTAGTGCTGCTTGTCTTGAGACATTTATACACCCTATAAAGTGTATACTCTTATTTATGCTTTTCTACCAAATTTTTTTTTAGATATAAAAAGTGAAAAGAAGTCCAAGGATGATATTGATAACGTATTAAATACCGCAGAAGAAAAACTTACTCGTAATGTCGGTTAAAAAAAAATCATTAAAAAGGTAAAAATATATATTACGTACGTAGCAATAATGAAAGATTTTTATTACTTGTTATATTTTTAACAATTTATTTTTTTATTTTATTTTATTTAGTGAACGCCAATTACGTCAATAATAATATCATCAATTTATTTTTAGATTTGGTCATATTCACTTTATTATTTTTAGTTTTGGACACATTCATTTTAAAAATATGTTAATTTTTTTATACGTACGTATCGGTAACTTTCCTTCTTAATACTCTAGTCACTTAGTTTGACTACAATCTTTAGATCATTTTAATTCCTGGGTAATTGTAGCGTAATAGTTAGAAGATTGTGTACAAGGTTGTGCTCCGGATGATCATGTGATGGTCCGAAGATGAACAAATTTAATACTCAAACTCCTCTTGACGCGATTAATTTATCAGTTAATTTTTTACTTTTAATTACATATATTACTTAGGCCGATTTTTAGTATAATTATCAAACTTATTATCGTTATAATTGAAGTTACCTTAATTAATATTATATTTTACGTTTGTAAAGCAACTTTAATATCAGTTAAAAGCTCTTTATTGTTTAAATAACATTTCAATACTTATTAGTATTTTCATAAGGCAAAATTTTCTTAGTTCTTTATATAATGTTATTTTTTATTATCAAAAAAATTATAATCAACCTTTTTATACCGAATTGTAAGTTCATTAAAGCCCATAGCATTTTTATAACGAGCTATTTATTATCTGTTATATAATTTGAAAATTTTAAGTTATTTATTGCATTTGAATATACAAATTTTATCACATCTGTTACCAAGGATTATGTATGATGGTATTAAGATATTGGCTTTATTTTGTTGGTGTTAATAAACCAGTTGAGATTGAAAATGCCATTAATATTTTTAATTTTGGTAATTTCATCTACATACGTACAAATTTTCTAATATACGTACGTATACGTACATAGTGCATCTTTAGTCTTTGAGTAATTCAATTTTTGGCATATAGAATACTTAATACGTATTCATGCAATAATGCTAAATAGCGGGCATGGGCGTTATTTCAAGAATTGCATCCCCTAAGAATAGTTTCGAAATAACGCCCACGCGCGTCCATAATGCACATCTCATGTAACATATTAGTGGATTATAATATACGTAGTAACAATCAAATTTTTTGAAATTGACCCATTATCTCGAAATAATGCACTTGAGTGTATTTCGAGGTGATTAAAAATAACGCGCAGATGCTGATTAATTAGAAATCACTGCTAAATTAGTACGTATACACTTATGGATTGGGAACAGTTTATACGTAAGTAAAAAAAAAAATGTTTCTTCAGGCTATGCAGGGTCTGTTTTTTTATCGAGGATGCAATTTCCGCAAACAATATTTTATAAACTGTGCGTTTGATTTGATCGCTTATAACCGAGTTTAATTCATCATTTTTCGAGTCAACAAGGATAACTCAAAAAAATGCTAAATGATTTTATATTGTACTAGTAAACGAGAACCGTTGGCCTAGATTATTAGAATGTCTGTTTTTTGTGTTTAAGATACTCTTTTTTATGTCATGTAATTCATCAATTTTATGTACACCATTAGAATCTTACTAAAATCAATAAGAAGTTCTAAGGTCGCCAATAAGTAAGGTTGTTATCTTTTAATGTTCAGATAAAATAATTACATAATAAGATATGAAATCATATAACTTAGCTTTCGACTGATGACGATGTCAGAGCCATCAATTCAAAATTATATAGTTTGATTAAAAAATGACGTAAACAATTAATGTAAAAATATCAAACGAGATCGCTCAGGACACATTTAGGGTTGTAAAAATATTATACGTACAGTATAATGGCATTGGTTAAGATACGTATACGTAATATAGATTACTCAATAAAATTTAGTCATAATAATTAATAATACGTACTAACTGCTAATGATTTAAAAAAACATAACAATCTCTTATAGAGGCTAATTGTGGTAATAAAAAACTGATACGTATTACGTATACAGTACAATAGCATTGGTTAAAATACGTATATGTAATACGTATAGATTAATCAATAAAATTTAGTCATACGTATTAATTAATAATACTAACTGCTAATGATTTAAAAAACATAACAATCTCTTATATAGAGACTAATTGTTGTAATGAGTAAAAACATAACAATCTCTTATAGAGGCTAATTGTGGTACGTAATGATAAAAAACTGATACGTATTATATCATATATATACTGTATGTAACTCATATGTTATTACACCGTTATTATACATATTATACCGCATAATAACCGGCTATTATACCAAAAATATATTATACCGTATAATTACATCCCTAAACACATTGTTTTTACTACAGTACCGGACAGCATACAAACATAGTGCAGTGCAAGTGATTTGATCCACTAATTAAGATTTTTTATCGGATCTGCACACTATATTAATTAGTAGATCATCACTATACGCATCATCTGCACTATGTTTGTAATACCGATGATAGACAGACATGACATCCGCTCTATACATATAGTGCGCCAATTTTTAATGCTTACATAATCAATTCTGATTGACTAAATTTGGGGTGGTTGATTCTGATTGGTTAATGAACCATCTTTTTTTTAAAACGCCAATTATAAAACTTTAACTCAAAAAATAACGAGGGGTTTTTTGATTTAACTGGTTTTGAGAAAGTTATAATGATTTATTATTTAAGAAAGTTATAATGATTTAAAGTTTATTAATAATAAAAAGTGGGTGATCTGAACCGAGAAAAATTTCCTTAATCGGTTAACCGAACTGAATTATTTCATTCAACCGGTTGCCAACCGGTTAAGATTAATTTTCTTTTGACCGATTACAGTTGTTTTCATAAATTCTGGAACAACTGCTTATCGATTCGGTCATCGGCAATTTTTTCAGTTGTTCCAGAATTTATGAAAACAGCTGTAAGAATTTCCTCAACCGGTTAACCAAATTTATTCGGTTCAGCTCGATTATTATAGCCCAACCGATTCAAACAATAATAAATAATTTCACATGATTATGCCTGCAATCTACGTATAAATATTTGTTTAAACAGACAGACACTTAATCCTTGTGCACACCCAAACTCGAGAAAAAAGTTTTATAAATTGGTTTCCCTTCACACCTGATCCTTGTGCACACCCATATCATCATGAATGTTTGAAAATTTTAATCCAAACTCGAGAAAAAAGTTTTATAACTTGTTCAATTTGTCGATATTAAATAACAAGAGAAGAAATTGATGATTGTATTATTCAAAGAAGCCCCACTTTTATTGTAGATTCAAGAGAAAATTACTTGTCTCAAAAGGGTGATAGAATTCTAGATGAAAAGAAGATTTGCTTATCCCCTTGTGCACACTTACGATTACAAGAAATTATTCATAAAAAAGATAACCAAACATCAAAGTAGCATCTTGCGAAGAACGCTCCTTGACAATAACTGCACACAATATCATTACATTCATGTAATTTGCAACAATTTGCGCATGTATTTTCTTACAAAGAACACAGAGTGTCCTCCTTCTATATATTCGAAAATGTGTCCGATGCCTTTCTAACCTAGGTTAACAATCCAAGTCCTAGGTCAAGATTCCACCAGCTATTCCTCAATTATTCTGCAGATACAAAAATCGAAATGATAAAGGGGATAAGCAAAAACGTAGTGGGGCTTCTTTGAATAATATAATCATCAATTTCTTCTCTTGTACATTTAAGTAAAAATAATCATAAAAGCAAGAATAATAATTAAAATGATTGAAATAATGATAAATAAAAATATTATAAAAAATTTTAATACAAATTCAAACCAGTCTTGAAGTATAAATAGTAATCTAAATGTTATAAACTACAAGTTATTTCATATCGACAAATTGAACAATTTATAAAATTTTTATCTCGATTTTGAATTAAATTTTTTAAACATTCACGATGATATGGATTATTATAATAATAATATTCATTAGCTACTTGAAAACTTTGACCAATAAAATTCCAATTTATGATTATTATTTGCAAGAGAAGTAACTGAGCTCTATATGAGCATACTCTAACGTATTCATGATATTTACAAGATTGAGTTTTTTCTCCTGCACAAGATCTACTGATTCTGAAGAAAGGGTTAATTATATACCTTAGTAAAAAAACTTTGTAAAGGAATGGAAATTATTATAAGAATGTGGGTCTATTTCTACTCAATATACCTTTTTTTTAAGGCCCTAAGTCGGTTGGACAATTAATTTTTGTAATCTCTTAGACTCAGTACAGTTATTTATTAATGTAAAGTTTTTTTTTTCATTTAAATAACAAATATAATATGTTTCCAATGCGAACATTCAACTGTGATATATGCCAGATGTCAATTAATATATCGTATTGTTTTTATTAAATATTATTTAATCAAAGAAACTATGCATAAATGGCAATTTAATATTAATTAAATTCACAATTAAACACTAATTAGAGATTTAAGAGCGAAAGGATGTGATAGGTTCCAAACATGGATATGGAAATATCAATCCTTTATTGTAATTTAAAATTAATTGTCATACAGACTTATTAATTTTTACAATAAATAAAAATTTCGACATTATTACAGGTAAACGAAATTTCGATTATTGAAAGTGTCAGAATAAAAATGTGTGAATATTCGAAGCAATTCGTTTAAGTATGTATCATGTAATAAGTTTCTTGAAATTTTAGCAAATTACGTTATTTTGGTTTGCAAATATTTATTTATAATACGTATAAATATTTTTTTTTTTAAAAAAAAAAATCAATATACGAATAAATGACTTATTTTAATTATTATACAAATATTATTAATTAAATAACATAAAGTGTATTATTTCTTAACCACCCAATTACATTTACACAACGAGCTAATATTAAATTAATGTAATATATGAGCATTAAGCTATAATATAATAAACGGTAACATATAAAGATCAAACTTACTTACATTGATTATCGCGTCATGTGTGCTACTTCTAACTTTTCGAAATGTTTTCGTGCAACGCTAATATTCATTTGAGTTGCAGCTGATTCTAAACAATTTATATTTAAGTAAAAAATTTTGAAATATATTATAATAAAGATTTACAAAATAACATACCAACAGTTGGATCTGACATAATAACCATAACATATGTGTTTGTGGTTAAAACGTCAAAAAAAGCGGCAAAATTCGCCTGTCGAATTTCCATGCTCCTAAATTGTGCCTGAGCTTTACTATAAAATATCAAATATTAATTTAATTGTTAAGACTATATTTGCATAATTGACTAAATTTCATAATAAAATCGAATATACTTACCTACAACTCAATTTGAATTGCTTCATATAATTACTAATTTTCTCAAATCTATGCACATCCGTATGTTCGATTCGTGTAGAATGAGAAATAACTAAGAATGTAGTTCGCTCAAACAACACAACTTCATCTGCTTCACATATTGTGGCGAAATTCTGAAGGTGTGACTCGAGCAATCTTACATTTGGAATTAAAGAGTGAACTATTGAAGACCAAGCCTATAATCAACCATATCGTTTATATAATAAGAATAAATGATAAATAAACAAATAAATATATTTAATTAACTTGATTTTATATTTACTTTATAAAGTGTCTCATCCCATATGGATGTTGCGAATGCCGTGATTTTTAAAGGTTCAGATCGTGTTTTTAGTTCATTGAGCCTTTCGGTAAATATCTAAATGAAAATATATATATAAATTAAAAAAGTTTAATATATTATCTCAAAGAAGGAAACATAGATAAAATATATATATATTATTTTTTATTACTCGAGATCTTAATTCTTCTTGTACTAAGTCCATCTTGTGTATCAAGCAAAAAATCTTTGCATCTTTAGAATTTGCTAATATCGCCTCGAGGCAATCTTGGTAATAATGCATATCTCTTTCGATCTCTCTAGATTCTACGTCAAAGACATAGATGAGTACTTCAACGTTACGAAAAATATGCTCACGTTGGGTAGCAAAGTAATTTTCCATAAACGTTTCTTGACTAAAAAATTAAAAAGTAACAAAAAATTTATCTAATTCGCACAAAAATCAAATAACAATTAGTACTAACTTACCCGCCACAATCCCATAAATTTAGAACCAAGTTACCAAGGAACCGAACACGAGAATTTTCAACATCAACTGTTTTAATTGACTGGTTAGACAACAAAAATTATAGAATTCATGAAAAAAACAAAGGTCAAATCCTAACTTGTTGCACCAAGACGGCGTGTATCTCTCGCGACATAATTATGAAATATAATGCTTCTCATAGAGGTCTTTCCTGACCCACTTTTTCCCATTAAAAGGACCTAAGAAATCGGGATCGGAAAACATAGTGTTAAAAAAACGAAATACTACGGTATCTTAAAATATTGGACAAAAAGTTGCACAATAAATTTATTGAACCTTTTTATTCATATTATAAAGAAGTGTAGGAATAAATCAAGAAAACAACTGATAACGATAATAATATTATTAATTTCTATCTAATTTATAATTGGTAGGATCTATCGCCATGGGTAACAGTAACACCCAACCATGAATGGTTCGAAATGCATATCAGATATTGTATCTATCAAAGAAATTTCAGATAATGAAACAATTTAACGAATACGACATCTGGTTTTTAGATAAAACAACGAATCTCCTTTTTTCAATATGCCGATATAATAGAGAGAAATATAACTCAACAGTCAACCTTTTCCGTATAATTTATGCTACGCCCAAAGCCACGTGCTCTCTCAATTCTGGAGACAAAATTTGAGTAAATTCTCGAGACTTTCCGAGGGTAAAGTCGGATAATATAGGTGATCATAGATACCTTTTGCATTTTTACCAATTTCTGAGTTGCTCGAAGTGGTTTCAGTAACGTCTGTATTCAGTAATAGTAACATCTGTAATGCAGATTTGGCAAAAAAAAATTTAATTAATTTGATTGGTTAACTTTATGATCACATGATAACTTAATTGGTTGGAAAAATTATAAGTAGTGAGTGCTCAACAATTAGTTGCATCAAAAGTTTGTTTTAAAAAATTGATTAATTTGCCAAGTTTAACCAACTTTTCGATTAATCAATTTTCGATTCATATCGCTTGCTATACTTACAAACCCCTACAAAACCATACAAAGGAAACTCTGCCGTTTTTTTGACATACTAAAATTTTTTGACATTACTTTCGACATATTAAAATATTTTGACATCCAAACTTATTTTCGGCAATACTATGATAAATTATTTATGATTTTCATTGTCAAAAATAAATTTCGCCATTTAAATTTACGTTAAAAGCAAAATATTTTAGACACATGTATACCACAAACGCGTGGTATAGGACTCACGGGTATCACCCGCCCTTTGATATATGGTTTGTATTAATGTGGGTTACTTTCCTTATTATGGTGACAGGATACTTTGGATTTTCGCTTAAATTTATAGAAGACGACAAATATTATGCAAAAGAATTCTTTATTGAAGACGGAAAAATACATAATGTTCATCGACAAAAATCCACTTGGAGTTTCCTAGGAATTCTGTCTTCTTTTATTATAATTTTCACAAGCATGAAAATTTCGTTGACTGATACATCCGATAAAAGAGTTATGAGAGAGAGCAAAGAAAGAGACATGACATATTCTATGGTGAAGGGAATACCTGTTGTTGTAGATGGCTGGTGTTGTATCTGTAGGTCCAATGTGTAAGTATTAAAATTTTATTATTATTATGATTTTTTCTTTGGTTCTAACATCATAATTTATATTTTTATTGGCTTTTTAGAGGATCAGGTACAAGACACTGTAAATTTTGTAATAAGGTAAATGATTATTAATATTAATGTTCTACATCTCGTTATATACCGCGTTAACATATTATCTATAGTGCATACAAGGTTATGACCACCATTGTCAATGGTTGAATTGTTGTATCGCAGAGTCTAATTATCGGTAACTTTAATTTTAGATTTAATTCAAATTCTAAGATACAATTGATAATTTATAATCTATTCATTTATAGAACATTTATATTATTCGTTATATCAACGCTTTTCGCGTCCTTTATGAGCCTTTTGCTCGCAGTTAATGCAATTGAAATGTATTTTAATTCAGAAAGTAAAAATTACTATGAATTAAATTGTATGTATTAAAATGTTCTTTTTTTATACCTTTGTATATATTTCTTATGTAATTAATTTGATTCTCTTTATTTAGTACACAAGATACTTCCATCTTCAACATTAAACACGGTCATCCTTGGATTATTTATAAATATTTTTTTGATAATTTTAAGCTCAGTAATTATAGCATTTGTCGGTCATTTGTTATTTTTCCACATAAGGCTATGTAAGTATCATAAAATATGTCAGATATTTATGAAATATATCACTCTTCTCTAACACTACTTTTAGATTTAATGGATATGACAACCGTAGAATATTTAAGTCATCAACAGCAAAGGAAATATTACAGCGATAATTATGAGGAGGAGGATGATGAAAATCCATGGAGAAGACCATATTATCATAATCCATGGAAAAGGTGGATAATGAGCATAGTTAGAAAAGTCTGCAAAGTACGTCTCAATTTTCTATTTCGTATTAATATAACTTTGCATATATTAGCGCTAATTTGACATTTTATATTATTTAGTTATCGAAATGTTGTACAAGGAGAAATATGAATCACAAGTCTAGAGATAGGTTCGAATATGTATATAATGTGTAAATGGTTTATATAGCGATTTTGGGATGATGTGATGGTATTTAATTTCTCGCAGGTTTCGAGAATTCTTATTACTGTACTTTATGAATTTATAGTATATTTATTATTATCCATATTTGTACTTTTATTTTTATTTAGTAAATACAAGTCCCGTATACTTTGTAATCACTTGGTTTATCTCTAAATACTGTAATATTCAGAAAGTGCTATAATTTCTGGTCGCAACTTGGGCATCTAAAACTTCAAGAACCTTGGGTGCTGTTCAATAGAAAAAGGGGAAATCTCTTTTTTTATTGAACAGTGCCTATATACTATATAAAAATAATAAACCTGTATTTCTACCAGAAAGCTTGCTTGAATTAAAAAAAATTATGGAAACTTGAATTAACCAGTTATTGTTCGGAGAAAATTATTTCATTTACTAAATATAGAAATATATTTTGAATTCTGTAATCTACAAAAAACTTGATCGCTTTTTGATTAACGTTTAATTTAAACTGCAAATCAATCTTTTGTAATATCTATATATGGCTAGACTATATAATTAATAATAGAGAGAATCTAGCGTTTCAAGAATCAACCTATTTTAAGAAAAATGTATCTAAGAGACTTGAGTTTTAATATTAATTTTTTACCTTTTTCTTTTAATATACAATATATGTTTTATAAGGTGAAGGGAGGTAATTTGACGGAGTTAACATTTATCGAAATTCTCCAATAGTAAACCTATTAAAAATATTAAAAATTACAAATTTTATTTCAAAATCTAATAAAATTCTAAAATAAAAAAAAATAAAGCAAGTTGTCTTGCATTTGCGCAACTTTATTAGTGCATCGGTCGGGAGGGTAAGTGGCGGATCAACATAAAATTAACGAAGCAACAACAATTAGGCAGTCTTACACGCTTCCTATTAAAGGGTATTTGTGTGATTATTTTGCAATCCGTTGATCAGAATCGAATGTTTTATGCACAACTCGATTCATCCTGTAAATGGTATAAGAATCATTAATTTCCAATTGATAAAATTGTGTGTAAACTTTAATACAATATAAGTTGACTCACCCATCTCCGTCAAATTACCTCCCTTCACTTACAGTATATACTGTATTATTTATTAGTTTTCAAAAATCAGAATATAAATAAATATATCATTAAATATCTAGAACATCGTAAGGGGCTTAAATAACTTCATGGACTATAAGTCCGTGATATAGTAGTAGATAAACAATATGAAAAAATAAATAAATAAATATTATAAACAAATTACTGTATATAATTATTAATAAAAAATTAAGTTTGTAAATAATACAAAACACTTTTCTTTATACATAAAAATTGTTTAGTTTTTATTAAGGCGGTTTGAAGTTACAATTTCGTTTAACGTTCTCCCACCGCCCCAGGAGCTCCCCCCTGAAATTAAACAAGCCAATAGAACGTCCGTGCATCTTTGAGATTTCAATAAATCATGCGACTATAAACCATCAATAATAATAGATATTTTTGAGATGTTATATAATGTTTTTTTAATTTGACCCCCTCCCCCACTGCCCTTAAGCTTCGAAAGGAACGTTAAACGAAATTATAACTTCAAATACTGTAGTCTAACTTGCAATTATTAAACAAATAAATAATTAGATTAAAAGCTAAACATATATTTATAATTATTTAATATAAAAGTTTAATTTTTTTTTTTTTTTTTAGCAATCCTGCCTTTATTATTTACTAGCAACAACGAAGTTTTATGCTTAAGCTTAATTATATATATTTATATATAGTAAAACTTTTCTAATCCAAATAATGTCTACAAAAAAAATTCTCAAAATTTTGGGTTAGAACTTATTACTAAAACACACTACCCTAACCCTAACACACATTTAGTTTTTTATAACTATGTATAATATGCTTAGATGTAATTTGCCAATTAACTATTTATCTTTGTTAGAATTTAAACTTATAGTTTGTTTGCTCTCTATCACTAATAGGCTGTTACTGGCCTTGTTAGAATTGTAATTCTTTTTTTAAATCTTTTCTTTTTTATAAAGAGCAATAAAAAAAAAGAGAAAATAAAAACTATTTGTCAAGAAAAAAAAATAATAATAATAAAATATGTAATGATATAAAAAAAGAAAAAAAAAATACCAAATACTAACAAGAAAAAAAAACAAAACAAATAAAGTTAAATGAAAAATAAAAACAAAAAAAATATATAATAAATACACTATTTTAGCCTATATTAGACTTAGATAAAAACAGCATAGCAGACATTTGATTTGATTGGCTTAAAATCACTAGATTACACAATATAAAAAAAATTTTAAAGTAATTCTTACTATGAAAATCATATTGTTAATTGGCAACTCATAGTTTTGTATAATAAAATTTTTTTAAAACATATTATAGTGTTCTTTAACCTCTTATATATCTTTTGGAAAAAAAGATTAGTATAGATTATTATCTTTAAAAACTTTACTTAGGAGGCAAATTTAGGCAAGTAATATAGTAATACAGCATATAACAAATAGATATTTAACTTTTTTTGCTTTCAAACTCAATGCTTTGATTTAAGCAACTAATGATGTGGTAATACTTATATTTAAAACATCTCACCCATTCTTTATTTCATACTGCTTAATTTATTATTATTAAAGTGTAATTTTTTTTTTAATTTAGCAGTCTTGTCTTTACTGTTTATTAGTACTCTAAGGTATTGTGGTTACAAATATACATATATATTTACAACTATTTAATTAATCACAGTTAAGACTCATCCAGTTACTAACTTAGTATTTATATATATTAGTGAAATATATTAATGTAAACTTATACAAGTTATTACGCCCCAAAATATTGTGCAATAATTACGGTCTAGGCACAATATTGCGCAATATTTCAAATTAATTCAAAACAATTTGAAATAAATATAAATACATCAAAACAGCAAAATATTTATAAACTAAAAGATAGCTACTAATGCATAAAAAAAGCTAATCAATTTGAATTTATCAAATACTATTTAAACAATTTCAGGGTATTTTGAATTAATTTGAAATAAATTAAATAAAAATATGAATAATAGGAAATATATTTAAATGCAATAATTATGTAATTTATTAAATATTTTCGAATTATTTCGAAAAAAAGCTAAATTTATAACCTTTATTTAAATAAACAAAATATAAATTTTATAACTTAAAATATATATATATATATTTTTTTTTTTTTTTAATTCTTTGACAGTCTTGTTGGTGCTCAAATACAAATTATATTACTATTAGACTAAAAACAA